GTCCAAAATTTGATATCAACATTACTAATTATGATTTTTGTAAGAAAAAATTGAATTTTTAATTTTAATTTTATTTCAATAAATGACATAATAGAATATAAATTTTAGTTATAAAATTTAAAATATTTGATATTTTATTTTTAATTAGAGTATTTTTTTTATCTAAATGTAATATTTTAAACTTGAAAAATCTAAGTATTATAAGTTTTAAATTTCAAGGACCTGAATAAAATTTACTAATGTATATACTAACGACATAGAGTCTTTGTTTTTTGCACGTACAAATTTTAAGGAATTTGTGTGTAATATTTTAAATATGAAGGTAGTCTCATGGGTCTAGGAGTAGCATAGTTTTAAAACCCGACCCAGATATCAACCTGAGAAAAGGACCGGGTCAATGGGTCACTGGTCGTACCAATTATATAATAAAAATAATAATAATAAATAGGCTCAAAAATCACAATAATTGTAAAAATAACATGCTTAATGTATATTAAATCAAACAAAAATCCCAAAATTATTAAACATATATCCAATATCTAATAACTAGGGATAACCTGTGCCTGAAGGCACGGAGCAACTAAAAAAAATTGAACATTAAAATTGAACGCGAAATATTCAAGCACTGAACTCGAACACTTATTAAACTAAAAATCTAAACTCACCCTATATCACATGCCTGAAGGCAATGTACATAATTCTTAAACATAGAACAATCAAACAATAAATAAAAACATGCATAAACCAAACAATAAATAACAACATGCATTAAGGTAAAAATCGTTTGGTCATTTTTAATGTCCTGAATATAGTGAAGTAAAAAGGGTCAAAATGCTTTTGTTTCAGTTATTAGAGAGATGGTTAAAACCTGAATGTACCATTTATGTTATTTAATCTAAAAATACTTATTTTGTTCTTTTAAAAATATTTGGACATAATTTCTCCTAAAAATATAATCCCAATAGATTATCAACTTGTATAGACAATCAATAAAATACTAATTACACAATCTACCATCTAAAAAACAAACAAATTGTGAAATCAATTGCAATCCTCAACCTATATTGCACCCAAGTTATATCACGAAGACTTACTCTTCAACCACCACTCAAACATCATGCCACTTTGGAGACCACATAAAATCACAAACTAAACAGTCCCCACACAAAACAAATTCCAAAAAACAATCAAACTTATGAATTAAACAAAATCAAGTAACTTCAACAACATGGATCATTACATAGATTCATAAGTGAATTATTGATTAATTATTTCACCCAATTTTTAGGCCACTTTGAAACTTGTATAAAACAATATAAAAATCTAAGGAATTATGCAAAAATCAAACAACCCATTACCAACATAAAACCAAGAAACGAAATCTTGTCAGTCATTGGGCAAGCAAAGAAAAAGGGGGGGTATTAGATCAAAGCAGAGTATATAATCAACCTCTGGAATTCCTGGTTTTTCCCTACTAAACTCAGAAGATGTATTAATAGGCAAGTAACAGTTTATATGTCCCATAATTCCACTTCAAGAACACTTTTTTGACTGCCATATACCATATTAAAAGTGTCCCATACACAGATATTTTTTTTTTTTAACTGGACCCACATACAGATCAAAGCTCCAAATTTGAGTGGCTATCTGACCCATGTCAGCAAGCATAAGATCACCCCCAACCTCATGCTCCAATGCAATATCTGGATTAGCAACTTTAGGATTACTTGGAAGATATGAAGTGTAGAGAGAGAGAGAGAGAGAGTGATGTTGCAATACGCCAACTCAATAGAAACCCTGAATCCACATACTAAGCATTGAATGTGATATATCTAAGCCAATCCATTGGTGTCCATTCATGGATAACGTCTCCCCACTAAGTCCTAATCCACAACCTACAAAACCAAAAAAAAGTGATACATTATATCTCCATTTTTGAAACCATGGGTGCTGATCTATATCAGAAGCTTTTATTCTCTGTAGCTAATCTGTAACACTAAGCTTTCATCACACAGTTTTTACATGCATTTTGCTCTTGGTTTGTATTTGAGTAATTTTAGATTTTATTTCTCATAGAAAATTTTCATTGCCGAAGTAGCAAAGGCTGTTGCATAAGGAATATCTTATGGAGAGTTTTACTCATGGTTGTACACTACTTTGGCTGCAACTCAAGCTCACACACACACAGCTTTCACTACTCAAATCATTCATGACTATGGGGTCAGAAAACAATCATGTTTAGATCTTCGATAATGCGGGTTTTCGGGGCAACTTAGATATAATTAATGTTCTAATCCCTCTTGTGCTCCCACCCAGCCATCCCCTACCCAAAAAGTCTTGGAATTAATCTAGAAACTTTCCACTTAAGAATAATAAATTAGACAATGATGTGGAACAATTAGAGCCATGCTCATAATTATGAAATGTTCTGCTTCCATTATTTAGACCATGGCATTAGATGTGAACATTTGGATTTGTTCATCCGCAAAGTGGTGAAGGCAGTAGAAAGAGAATCATTGAAACATGAGAAATTGATAGACTTTTCATGCACGTGGGTCCAGTGTTATAGGAATAAGGGAATTCTTCTACTCAGCTGGTCTATGGTGGAGGGAGCAAACACAAAGTGTTGGAATAACAGTGTGGTTGTTGCTCTAGTTTGGCTCTTCTCTCTTAGCAGCATTAAGAATTTGCAGAATGCTATATGGCAATAACTAATTTAAATACGAAAATCTCACGGCCAGTAAATTTACAATGTTAAGAGTAACAATAAGTATGGTCTAACTGAAGCCACATCACAAAGATGAGGGTCAGAATGAGTAGGCTTGAAGAAGGATAAAGAAGTTAGCAGTTCAGAAACTTAAAGAAATCTTCAAATGGTGTGAGGGATAACTGGTCTTGATCACATTAGACATGTTTACACACTTCTTTAGAGAAATATAAATTTTTTAGAAGGAAAAACCCTGTTAGAGAATAAAAGCTTCTGATATAGATCAGCACCCATGGTTTCAAACAGCTTCAAGCAAGACATATTAAAAAAAATCTTAAAGAATAGGGATACAATCTAAAAGGACAACAATCCAAATGTCAGAGCACCCCTACTCAAGCTCTTTTGGGGAATTTTGTCAAACAGTGAACCTGGGGATAGCGAGAGAGAGGATGGGGTTTGGGTGTGAAAAGAGAGAAGGGCAGAAAGAGATACCTGGAGAGCCTGGGGCTGGGCGCTGTTGGGGTGAGAGAGAGAGAGAGGAGGTGGTGAGGGGATGGTGTTTGCGTATGATGGGGATGGTGTTTGCACAGTGAAGAGACCCTTGCCGCCTGTCAGCGTGAAATTGGGGAAGTGAGCGAAGAGACCGAGAGAGAAGAGATGGTTTTGGCTCTGTGTGTTGCAGGTAGCCGTTGCTATTTGGGTTGGGTTGGGTTGAGTTTTAGGGGAAAAATATAATGGGAATAAAATTCAAAGTGGTAGCTGTTTTATTATATAGATATCCAACGAACAAATCTCAAAATAAAGAACTTTCACCTTCGTCAAATTAAAAATTGAAAACTAAACATCTCATATTTATCAAAAATTAAAAAAATAATAATAATCTGCTCTTAAACCATTTGAACCATGAGACCAACACTCGAAAGAACATCGCCCAAATCATATTCATCATCAAACACAGCAAGAAAGTAAGTTTACAAATTCTAAATATGGAATTCATGATCAACAGCAATTGCGTGGCAACTCCATTGGCAGTTTGGCTTCTTTTCCACAGCTGGTGGTTCTGCACCATCATCTTCCATTGATGTCCAACTCCACCACCCAGGTGACCAGATTTTAAGAACTAAAAGCCAAACCCAAGGTTTTTCTCTTTCCTTCTTACCTTTTCTTCCAAAGTTTCAATGCTTCTCTGATTTACCCTCTAAGCCAAAACTTATACAAATTATAAAATACAACTAAATCTAATAGATATTCAAATTGGTAATTTGATAGATGTTGAAAATTGAAATATGCCAAAATTTATACAAATATAAATCAACTAAACCTAAAATGGACCAAAAACAAAATTAAATCTAACATAATAGCAAAAACTAGAGAAAGTAGAGATCAAGAGACACAGAGAAAACGATGTATATACCCGGTCCTAATGTGTCTCAAACTATCGAGTGAAGAATCAATGGAAGAGATATCTATCGAACAAGGAACACCGGTCTCTATTGAAGGATCAACTGATCAAGGAAGATCGAAGATCTGAGTCTTCGAGTGTGAGAGAGAGATGAGTCGGTCGTCGTCGTTGTCGTTGAGAAGAGGAGAGCAGGCGCACTGAGGAGTGAGGCTCGACCAATTTTGGGCAAAATGCCCTAAAGTCTGACTTTTATAGAATTTATTTTAACCCGTCCGGTTTTTTCAAAACCGTCCGATCCCTCGGGTTAATTATAAAACCGTCTGGTTCACTGGATTTTTTCCGGTTCAATTGCTTGAACGATCTAATGACCGAATTGACCTGGTTTGGGCTCCAATTTACCGGGTCAACCCGTCGGACTGGGCCGGTTTTTAAAACACTGGTTTTACTTTTTTTAAAGAACTACTCTAGGAGTAGTTATTTAAAACACGGGCGTAATTCAGTTCTTTAAAACATTAGTAGTTCAGTTCTTTAAAACACTGGAGTAGTTCTTCAAAAAAAGTAAAACTTGGTTTGACTAAATCGTCTTCGAAATCGCCTTAAGCTGGTTGTGTGACCGACCTGCTTGCAATATTCAATCTTGGAACTCGAGGTTTACGAAATTTTCCTTTGATTTCGAATTGTTTGATTATACATCAATCTTGAGTTTTTTTTTTCCTTGAATTTTAAGAATTTGTGATGTGGGTTTTGTATGTAGAGATTATAATTGGGTTTTTGAGTTCTTTCCTGTTTCTACTACTTGTTTTGGTTTGGAAAACCTTTTTTGCAATAGCATTTATTATTTCATGTATTTGTTTCAGAGGGAAACAGACGAGTATGAAGGATTATCAGGAAATGGAGAAGTTTGAGATGGTGAACGATTACGAAGACGGTCAGTGGATTGGTGGGGAATTTTACCACCGGAAGCGAAAAGACAAAGGCGTTCAGACCAAAGACGATGTTCTCTATCGTGTCTTCGCCTCTGATGACAGTGACTCTGACAACGGGGGAGGCTCTAGTACAAGGAAGCGAAGGAAAGATCTCTCTAAGAAATCGCACTTCACCAAGCCTGTCAATTTCGTCTCCACTGGCACTGTCATACCCAACCAAGAAATTGATGACAATTTGAAAGAGGAGAATGTTGATGCTGCTGAGGAGGAGAACAAGACTTCTGGTTTGGGGCTCGGAGCATCCGGTTCTTGCTCTTCTGGCCTAGGCTTTCATTCCAGTGCTTCCAGGATTGCAGTGACTGAAAATGGAGCAGACCAAGAAGATGATGGAGATGTCTTTCTACCAACAGCTTTTGGAAAGAAGATCAGGGAAGGCGCAGAGCGGCGCCGTGAGAGGGAAAAGGAGTAGTCTAGATTGGCCAAGAAAGCCACCCAAGTGGGAAGGAGAGAACCGGAGCTTGGTGGTGTTGGTCGATTTGAGGAGCACACCAAAGGGATCGGGAGAAAGTTACTTGAGAAGATGGGTTACAAAGGAGGTGAGCTTGGTAAAAACGAGCAAGGTATTGTTGCTCCTATTGAGGCTAAGTTGCGGCCGAAGCTTATGGGAATGGGTTATGGAAAGTCTGATTTGCCAGCATTGCAGGAAGTAGAGGAGAAGAAGTCGGCGCCTAATGTGGGTAGGGCCACTGAGGGTCTCTCAAAAGAGAAGCTTTGGTCAAAGCAAGGTCGGCAGAATAAGAAGGTCTATGTTACGCAAGAAGAGTTGTTGGCCCAGAAGCAAGAGCAGGGCATTGAAGTAGTTCAGAAGTTTTTTGATATGAGAGGACCGCAGGTTCATGTTTTGACAAATTTGGAGAACTTGGATGCTGAAGAGAAAGCAAAGGAAAACGATGTCCCCATGCCTAAGTTTCAGCATAACATGAGATTGATTGTTGACTTAGCAGAGCTTGATATACAGAAAATAGATCGAGATTTGAGAAACGAGAGGGAGATTGTGGTTACATTGCAAAAGGAGAAGGAGAAGCTTCAAATTGATGTGGCTCGCCAAAAGAAACAGCTGGATAGTATGGAAGAAATAGTTAGTGTGTTGGACCAGATGGGCACAGTGAATTCGTTGGGAAAATTGACTCTCGACTCCCTTGCAAAGTCATTTGGGGACTTGCAGAGGAGATATGCTGAAGATTACAAACCTTGTAATTTGTCATGCATTGCTTGCTCATTTGCTCTGCCTTTGTTTATTCGAGTATTTCAGGGATGGGACCCACTTCAAAATCCAAAACATGGATTGGAAGTGATGTCATTGTGGAAGAATTTGTTGCAAGGTGAAGATTTCTCTGATGCAGCCTCCCCCTACACTCAGCTGTTTATGGAAGTTGTATTCCCTGCTGTGGGGATAACTGCCACCAACACTTGGCAGGCTAGGGACCCTGAACCCATGCTTCGTTTTTTGGAGTCTTGGGAAAGGCTGCTGCCTCCTTCCACCCTCCAGAGTATATTGGACAATGTAATTTTGCCAAAATTATCAGCTGCTGTGGAGTCATGGGACCCACGTCGGGAAACTATTCCTATCCATAAGTGGGTGCGTCCAAGGCTACCATTATTGGGACAGAAGTTGGAGGTTCAGGGTCTCTATCATACAATACGTAATAGATTGGGAAGAGTTCTTGATGCTTGGTATCCTCGTAATATGGCTGCCTACTGTATATTGTCACCGTGGAAGACTGTGTTTGATCCAACCAGCTGGGAAAAACTAATGGTCCGATATATCATTTCAAAATTGTTGACTGTCATGCATGATTTCGAAATAAATCCAGCAGATCAGAAATTTGATCAGTTCAAGGCCGGCTCAACAGTAGAGCCCAAAAAGCATGGGGTTTAGGCCCACATATNTCCAAAATTGTTGACTGTCATGCATGATTTCGAAATAAATCCAGCAGATCAGAAATTGGATCAGTTCAAGGCCGGCTCAACAGTAGAGCCCAAAAAGCATGGGGTTTAGGCCCACATATAAAAAAGGCCCAAAAATTTTTGAGGTCAATTAATAAAATATAGATCAAATATATTTTGATCTATATTTTATTATAATTTAGCTTAACATAAAAATTATGTCAAAAAAATAAAATTTAAAATTTAAGTCCAAAAGTACATTCCAAATTTATTAAAGGGCAAAAAAAGGTCAACACTTAGATAAAAAAGTATAATAAGTATCTCTCTTCCAAAAAAACACCATTTATTAAACTCACTTTTGTTTTCGTTTAAACACAACAATACCAACTAATTAAATTATTCAGTTTCATAAAGGATCCAAAATAAAAAATAGTTAATATANTTAACACTTAGATAAAAAAAGTATAATAAGTATCTCTCTTCCAAAAAAACGTCATTTATTAAACTCAATTTTGTTTTCGTTTAAATACAACAATACCAACTAATTAAATTATTCAGTTTCATAAAGGATCCAAAATAAAAAATAGTTAATATAAAAAAAATTTCAATAATGTTTACTATATATTAGATGCCTAAATTACTAAAAAAAATTATATGACACCACATTATAATATTGAATATCTTTATTGTGATAGTATCTTACAACAGTCAATAAAAAATGCATAAAATATAAAATAATACATATATTACTTTTAATCCTTGCGCATCATCTAATAATCAATTNTTGTATCTTACAACAGTCAATAAAAATGCATAAAATATAAAATAATACATATATTACTTTTAATCCTTGTGCATCATCTAATAATCAATTTGTCTCACTTAATCAATTTCATGGACAAAGACTTGATAATGAGGGACGAGTAAAAACTACAATTATTGCGAGATGCACAAATATTTCAATCTTTTNTAGTATCTTACAACAGTCAATAAAAAATGCATAAAATATAAAATAATACATATATTACTTTTAATCCTTGCGCATCATCTAATAATCAATTTGTCTCACTTAATCAATTTCATGGACAAAGACTTGATAGTGAGGGACGAGTAAAAACTACAATTATTGCGAGATGCACAAATATTTCAATCTTTTAAATAAGAGGAGACACATTAGGGCTGATCCTTGGACTCAACCATTAAAATAGTCGTCTAGAGTCTAAAAAATTTAGAGATTCAATTTAATTGTCACCCCTTTGCTTAACTTCAAGTTCTGAGGCCCTTTTGAAAAGACCAAGTTAAAGGTCAAAATATATTTCACAANATCCTTGGACTCAACCATTAAAATAGTCGTCTAGAGTCTAAAAAATTTAGAGATTCAATTTAATTGTCAGCCATTTGCTTAACTTCAAGTTCTGAGGCCCTTTTGAAAAGACCAAGTTAAAGGTCAAAATATATTTCACAAGTCTATCTAAAGCGTTATAGAAAACTTTAAAATGTAATAATATTTTTACAAGTCTATGTAAATAAAAGTTCTAAAATATAACAAAGTTTTTTAAAAAAATCTAAAATTAATGACTTCTACCTTTAAAAGTAGCAATCTCTCTAAAAAATTTACATTAATTTTTCCTCCACTCTCATCGCTTCTCTCCAACCCTTTCTCTCATTTCCAGTCTCATTGTCATGATCTGATTTTTTTGACCGTATATTTAGCTATATTGTTATTTCACTTTATTCAATTTATTCATTTATAAGATCTTGACTTCACAATTACATTTGNTCAAAAATTTTCATTAATTTTTCCTCCACTCTCATCGCTTCTCTCCAACCCTTTCTCTCATTTCCAGTCTCATTTTCATGATCTGATTTTTTTGACCGTATATTTAGCTATATTGTTATTTCACTTTATTCAATTTATTCATTTATAAGATCTTGACTTCACAATTACATTTGATCCTACTCGATCCCAAAGCCATTAAAAATTTGAAAGTATTTCTATAAAATATTTTCTTGCTTTAGGCCCAAATTTGTGTTGGGCCGGCCTTGGATCAGTTCTATTGGATTCGGACTTGGGCCACTGCTATTCCCATTCACCTTATGGTGCTGTTAATGGACGTGTTCTTCAACAAGTGGCAAGAAGTTTTGTATAATTGGTTATGCTCTAATCCAAACTTTGAACAAGTGGCCCAATGGTACTTGGGTTGGAAGGAACTTCTTCCGCCCGAGCTTCTGGCAAATGAACACATTCAATATCGGCTTATTTTGGGTTTGGACATGATGAACCAGGCTCCTGTGTTCACTCTACTATACGGATAAGAAATATTATCTTTCGTCTTCTTACCCGATATTTTGCAGGAAAATTTTTTCTTGACCTATCTTACCCGATCAGGTGTGATATTCATATCCGAATAATCGGATAGGAAATAAGGTAAACACTTTTGTAACTATTAATTTTTAGATCATTTTAACAATTCAATTGAATAACATACACCAATTTAATAATACAATAAATCAATAACACTAAAACCTAAAACAACTATAACAATAATTACAATAAAACATAAGAAAACATAAATATCAATTCATCATAATTGTTATACAAATACAAACAATTATATTAAGTTTAAACCATATGAAACACATTAAAATTATAACTACTCCAATAGTTCACTAATTCACCACAAATCATGTAACCTACACAAAAAAACAAGTCTATATTTTCGCAACTCAAACATTCACTACAATAACAATGTTATAATATAAATTATACTACACAAATACTCTTATAATTACTAAAAAAGTTAAATATATTTTTTACGGGTAAGATAGGATAGGAATGAGAAAATTAATGGGTGTTCCGCATTCTTACCCGATTTTTACGGCTAGCCCTAGTGAAGACATGGAGGTGGTCCACCCTGATTTTATAGAGGACAGTAATTATCTCACGCTGGTTGAACAAAGGCAGTTTGAGGCTCAGCAAAAAGCAACTGCGCAAGCTCATCAACAATCTTCCGCAAGCGTTGGTAGTGTAACCCAGATGGAGGGCTTGGGTGGTGGGCTAGAGATGAGCTTGAAAGAAGTTATTGAAGTCCATGCACAGCAGAATGGTTTGGTATTTAAGCCTAAACCCGGCAGAATGCAAGATGATCACCAGATTTATGGCTTTGGTAACATAAGCATAATAATAGAATCTTTTAATGAAAAAGTATTTGCACAAACTGAGGATAGGTGGTCTTTAGTTTCCCTGGAGCACCTGCTATAACTTCAGTCTTTCTACCTTAACGCGATGCTGAATTTTTAAAGTGCTCTTGCAATGTTCTTGGGATTGAGAAGCACTCTGTGTAGTGCAGGGATTAAGGTTGCAGAGCTTGTGGTAATAGCATATTTGGTTTCTCTTCGAACTTTCAGCCTGTCTCTTGCGGCTTTAAATTTCTGTTGTAACTGATGACAATTGCACTACTAATTCCTTTTTTTTTTTTTGGGTAGTTGGACAAATTGAAAGGGAAAGGGGTTTATAACATAGTTTTAAAACCCGGCCCGGGTCAATAAATCACTGATTCAACTGTTGGGCCACTGATTAGATCGGTAATATAATAAAAAATTAAAAAATAATTATAAATAATAATAAATTGACTAAAAAATCATAATAATTATATAAATAACATCAAACATGTAAAATTAAGTAGAGAAAAATCATCAAACATGTATCCAATTTTCAATACAATTCCTCTATTGAAGTTCATGGCTCTAAGTCTAAATCCAACTCTTCGACCATATATCAATCTTAATTTGTACTCTTCAAAGCTCAAACTTGAACTCCAACCGTAGTAAGCAAGACACATGAAAACAAAACAAATTTCAGCATAAAGAGTCAAAGCACACGAGCATACCATCTAAAATTCAGAGACCAATTTCAATCTTTATATCAGACAACAGAAAATAGGGTTAATCTCATTTTACACCCCGAAAGATAGTTCGAATCTCAATTTACACCCTCAAAGAGCAAAAATCTCAATTTACACCCTCAAAGATAGATATTTGTATCAATGTGCACCCCCAAAGATCAAAAATCTCAATTTGCACCCTCAAAGATAGAAATTTATATCAATGTCCACCTCCAAAGATCAAAAATCTCAATTTGCACCCTCAAAGATATAAATTTATATCAATGTGCACCCCAAAGATAAAAAATCTCAATTTGCACTCTCAAATATAGAAATTTGTATCATTATGCACCTAAAACTAAATTGATAAATTATACCTAGATC